CAACCTATAACTACGGTAACAGTCAGAATAGTATAAGTCAATTCATAAATACCGCGATTTTGATCATAAAAGAAACTAAAAAACAAGTCGGTTTTGATGAATGTTACCCTGAATGAATTACACCCCTGATCCTCCTTGCAAGTGCTATCTTCAATTTTGTAGTTTTGAAATTTTTTTGCAATTTTCGAAAAAAACGAACAATATCCGAAAATGGGACTAGCACCTTATTTTCCACCGTCCCTTATTACATACTAGCATAAGTATCCCGCATTGTTGGGGTATTAATCACAATTATGTATTAGAGGTATTCCATCTATTCTCGCCCTGCCACGGAGTCTACTTGTATCAATCCTTTTGTATCCCCGCACCGTTTTGCCCAACCTCTCTCTGCCTTGCTCCCACTTGGAAAATACCTCAAAAAATCTTCCTCACTCTATTTCTCACCACAAATGTTTATATATTTTACTTTCTCGCCTTACGAATTTTTCATAAGAAGAATCGTGCGCCAGTAAACGCCGAAATTTTGCCAGAAAAAAACCTGATTGTCGGTTTCTGATAAAGAAAAACTGGATAAATCCTGTTGTTAAATTTAAAAAAAACTCTAACTCGTGGTGTAGCCAGAATCCATGTTGTGTTGGTTCTTGATACCGAAAAATCGATCAACGACAGAAAGTCCGTCTCTCCGTCCGTCCGCCTGTGGTCAACACTAGCGGCTAAACTGTTCGGCCGATTTTCTTCAAACTTGATATTCACCAATCGATCTGGCTGATTTCACGGCCCCTGGAATCTAAAAACCGATATTTTAATTTTGGGGGTACTTTACATGAAACCCCAATGACTACTTTCCAATTTTTCAAAAAAATTGCTTCTATTTTTTTTATTAAATTTTGTTGTTTAATAGCGCGAAAGTCCTTTAAGAGAATGTGCAGACCTCATATTCGGTGATATGACTGATTTTTCGAAAATTTCAAAAATAGTTTTTAAAAGTACAAAATTAAAGATAGAGGTTTTTGGTTCAGACAATGACTGTTGAACAACATTATCTCTTTAGAGAAGTTCATGTGCAATTTTCTGAAGAAATTAGATGTTTGCGTTGTGTGGTCTTGAAATTTACAACAACAAAAAATTCTCAAAAGCCGCACCAAATTTTCTCCACATATGTAATAACGGAAGATAAGATATATAGCGCTAGTCCCATTTTCGGCTCTTTTTTTTTTAATTGCATAAAGATGTCAAAACTTCAAATTTAAAGATAAACATTTTGGCGTCAGACAAAGTTTGTTGTACAAAATTAACTATTTAAATAAATACATACATAAATAAAAACTAGTGATTCTATAAAATGGCACAGACTTTCTCGATCTAGTTAGTTTGCCATTATATCTACTCTTGACCAGCTTTTCCGATAGGCGTCATTGTCTTCTCGCCTGTCTTTCGTCGCCCGAAAAACATGTTTTACATTTATTAAATACTCAGTTCCGTAATGCTAGAACTGAAACCTCTACACACTGATTACTGTTATTGAAGTATTCATTGCACGTCGTAACTGAAAAGCCGTTGTAGGTAGTTGGGGGGGGGGGGAGTAATGACAATATCATAGATACATCAGCGAAGTGCCGTTTTACAAACATTTCATATATGAATAAGTATACTTCTTTCTTGTATACTTAATACAATCATACCTAGATGCAATTAAAATCTGTATCCAAGTTACTTTTGTAGTGAGTGAAGAAAAACTTTCTTGAATATAAGCATTTCGCATTAGACAATTGACGGTAAAAACAACAAAGGCCTCAGCTAAATTATACGCAATTCTGTAAATTGATGAACTCAATCGAAGGCCTGTCGTCATCCTTGGGTGGCGCGCATCCAAACTATTACACACTGTTCTAGGCGAAAAAGTCCAGAAAAGTAATTATTTTGTGAAATTATTGTAACCTGCCGGGATGTTCCGGATGCGATATTGAAAGGTCAATAAAACTGATATATTATTGTAAAACGTTTAATGAACAATTAAGATGATTATGAGGATGAATAGAAGCATGAACATGAATAATAGGGTACATAGAATTTACATTTTTTTTTTTTGGAGTCTACATAGACAGATTCTATTCCTGCCACAAAAAAAATGACTTGCAGCCTCATTGATACCACTTGCTTTTTCATTGCCAGTCTCGCCCGCGGACATAGTGGGTAAAAGTGCTGGCAGTGACCCCAAGTAATAACACCGATTATGTCCTTTGGGCCCCTTCCCACGTCGCGACGGCGGTGCGCTTCCGAGTGCCGCGGCTCGTAGCAGAGCATTGGTTTGAATGGAGGCCTTCCCACGTGCAGCGGGCGGGCGCTGCTACGCCAAGCGTCGCCGGACTCTCGCCACGCGAAGCGGAGGAGGGCGTACGCGCCACCGCTGGCAGAACACAGCTTCAAGGGCGGCTTCCCACGGCGCGGCCGCCGCGCGATTCCTTCAAGGAGCAGAGCTCTTCAGACGCAGCCACCGCCGGAGCCACGGCCCAACCGTCGCCCGCCGTGGAAGGGGGTGGGGGTCTGGAGGGGTAGGTTTCGCCGACCCTCCGGCGACGACGAACAAAGGGACCGGAGCAGGTAGAACGCTGCGGCAGCGGCGGAGTGGGAAGGCGCCCATTTAAAGCTGTGTTCTGCTAGAGGTGGCGCGTGGCCCCTCCTCGGCTTCGCGTAGCTGGAGTTCGGCGTCGGCTGCCTCAGCAACCGCCACTCGCTGCACGTGGGAAGGCCTCCATTCAAACCAATGCTCTGCTACGCGCCGCGCTGCTGCGACGTGCGCTGCGGCCGCGCCGTGGGAAGGGGCCCTAAATGGTAGCCTTGCCATTGTGCCGCTGGTCGCCTCGTTTTACCTGCTGCGGTCCCTTTGTTCGACGTCGCCGGAGGGTCGGCGAAACCTACCCCTGCAGAACCCACCCCGTTCCCCGGCGGGCGGCGGTGCGACCGTGGCTACGGCAGTGGCGGCTTAGAAAGGGCTCTGCTGCTTGACGGAAGCGCGCCGCCACGGCAGCGCGCGTACGTCAATCGGCAGGGCTCTTTGCGGACCCTCCGGCGACGTCGGACGAGGACCGCAGCAGGTAAAACGCAGCGACCGGCGGCCGCAGTGGGTAGCCTCCCAGCTGTATTCTGCTAGCAGTGGCGCGTACCCGCTCCTCCGCTTCGCGTAGCAAGAGTCTTGACGGACGCGCCGCCGTCGCGACGTGGGCAGGCGCCCCAAGGGCTTACTGCTTTGTTGAATAGCGGCACTACCCAGCATCCTCTGGGCGGTCGCACTGTATGCCGCAGGTAGTTGTGAGGAGCGAAGGTGGCTGTCAGCTGATTCTCGCCGGCCGGCGGGTGGCGCGCGTTGCCTCCCCGGCGTTTCCAGGCGGCGCCCGCTGGAGGACTGACTCCCGCTGACGGGCGGGCCGCACGCACCCGTACTCCCTCTTGTCGCGCCGTGGCGGTGATTCGTCCTCGGTGGCGACGGTGTCCCGGACATATTACCGGCGAAGGCAATGCGGCGATCAAAGACTTCCGTCACTTTCACGTAAGGGTGGTATGTCAATCAAGAGGCTCCTAAGCGTAGGCGTTTCTCAAGGCTCACTGGATGCCGAAATGGATGCTGGACTGTTGTACCCAAGTTGGCGGGTTCAAACCCGATCAAAGCCGTGGATTTTTA